CATGTGATACAGAGAATTTACTACAGAAGGCCGGGGGGGGGGAGTGCTGACAAGCAGAATAGGTGCACTAAGCCTACCAGAATTTGTTTTAAAACAAAACATTAGGAAAATGTGAAACCAAAACCATGTTTTTCCATAGAATTTCTAGAGCATGATTGTGGAAAGTTCCAGAGAGACAAAAATGGAGTTGGGGAGTTGCCCACTCCTGCTTTAACGAGAGACACCGACTTAGTTGAAGTTGCTTTACATCAAGCAGTATCACTGATTCATCACGTTCAGGGTTTCTCATCCTCAGCAACTTTAAGATGTGTGGACTTCAACTCCCAGAATTCCCTGGCAGAGAAACACTAACCTAGTTCATATAATCCACTTTAATTGTTTTCACTCTCCAAGGTTTCAGGCTCTTTCTACACTTAGATCATTTAAGATGGAAACACCAAAGGCTCAAACTGCCCCCTTTCACATACAAAGCTTCTGCTTTACCATTAAGCAAAGGCCTGATCTTAGCAAGCTTTCTTAAGAGGCTAATAGACAAACTGAGAAGTTTCCCAACTATTAAAATGGCACAAATTTGAAGAACACTTAACAGCATTTGATTTTGGGGAACATGATTCTTACCTCCCCTCCATTAGCATATTCCATAACAAAACACAAACGGTCATGCGTCTGAAAGGAGTATTTCAATGCCTATAAAAAATGTACACAAAAACTTAGTTTTACATAATTTGTTACTCTGTATAACCAACCAAGAGATTACTAGAGTTGGACTTGTGCCCTGAGACCTCACACATCATGTGTGCTATACCAGAAAATGATGACTCCCTTTCTACTGAATGAACCCCTGCCCCTTTCTGAAGTGAACAACTTCACTTTTAGTACAAGCTATGAGTATTCCTGTTTTAACTGCAAATCTCCTCCTCCTTTTCTCTTGCTTTTTATGCAAATCCAGAATTCTTCTCGGGCACAGTCTTGAGAAAGCAAAATCTGTGGAAGAGTTTACAATGCATAAGAACGATGTCAAAGATGATCGCTGTTTACTTTGTATTTGAATGAAACATCTTTAACAATGTTTGACAGGGTGAGGTATTCTCCCTAATTTAATTTTTCCCTCTGATGCTTCTGCTGTATATATATTGTTGAATAACAGTAGCAGTGATAGCAAAAGCAAAAGCAAAATGTATAATAAATGAAAAGCAAAATAAAGTAGACATTATCTTGGACATTTCTTGTTAAAGAAAGTTCCACGTGAATACTTTACAATTCGCCAACTACGTTCAGCTAAGCTGGAGAAGCAAAGTTAAAATAGAGTCAAGAATGATGTCGCTGTATTTCATTGAGAAGACTGATACTGAAGGTTATGCCCAATTCTGTTTCCAAAACTGTGCACCAAAGAAGTCATCCTGATAACTATAGTTTTTATTATTTATTTATTCATTTAATCACATTTATATCGCCATTATTAATAAAATTTTATTAATTTTAATGTATTTTTAATGGTTTTTGTTATATGATTCTGGTTATTTTTTGTATTTTTGGGGGGGTGAGCTGCCCAGAGTCATGTGTGAGAGATTGCCAGCTATATAAATTGGACAAACAAACAAACGAACAAATGAAAGAGCCCTACTATGTCTGATCTAAAGTTCCATCTAGCAACTGTTTTCTCTTCCATTAATGCTTTGCCCCCAGCAACCAGAAATGCACTGCTTCTGAATGGGAAGCCCCCAAGTGGTGGTGCCTCCACGTGTCACGCATATTTTTGCAGTGCAAGAAGCGCCAGCTTGGTTTGACATGGTTTTGTTTTGCTTGGGCTGCAGCCCAAAAGTTACAGCTGGGGTTTCAGCCAGAGAAGGAGTCACAACTTTGGCCTTAGATAAAAATAAACATATCCATAAATAATAATGGATTGTATAAGACACCATTTTCTGGATCCAGAACAAGAACTTTTTTTCTCGCAACTCTGGCAAGTCCTGCTGGAGATACATTAGCTGATCATGAATCTCTTAATGAAGGTAGGATCAAAAAGACTTTTGACTTCAAAAGTTAATAAAGTCAAAAGTATCCTTTATCCAAACTACTTTTCCCTTATTTATTTGCTTTGGTTTCTGTGCTTCTCCATTCCTATGGGGTCTGAGTGGCTTACAGAATTAACAGAACACAAGATTCAAACCAAACCAAAATCCACTAATAGCTGCTAATCTGATGCACAACCATTCAGGAGTAGTCAAAAACTCTTTAGCTTCAATTGCTCTCCTGAAGAACCACATTTTCACTGCTCTTTGGAAGCAAACTAAAGAGGAGATGGTCCAAATGTCTGGGGCTACGTGTTCCACAAGAGGGAGGCATGATTACATGACTGAATTTTGGAGCAGCTGTAGCAACCTGGGTCACCACATGCTGAACCAGCTGAAGGTTCTGAGTGGTCTTCAAGGACAGCACTATGTAGAGCGAGTTGCAATAGGCCATACACTGGGTGACAAGAGTCTGAGTGACCATGAGCAAAGCCTCCTGTTCCAGGAATGGCCACAATTGGCACATAAGATGTAACTATACCAAGGTCATCCTGGCTCCAACTTCTATCTGCTGCTTGAGCAGAAATAGCTCCAAACCATAAGCCAGGGGAAAGTCCAGAGTTAATGATGGACTGTCTCTGAAATCAGTTGGGTTTCTCCTCCACAGCTACTCCAATTTGCTAGGTTTCAGCTTAAGCATGTTCTTCCTCATGCTGACCCTGACAACTTCCAGACATCAGATCAGGACCTCCACTACACTTTCTGCCTGGCCCAGGGTGGAGATACACAATGAAGTATCATCTATATATTGATTATTCAATCTGTGCAGAAGGATGACCTCTTTAAGCAGCTTCCTGTATGGGGGAAAGGATTGAGTCCTGAGGCATCCCACAATGGAGCACTTGAGGACAAGTTCTTTCCCTTCTCTACTGACTGGGACTGACCACTGAAAAAAAAAAAGAACCACTGCCAATCAGTGCACTCTGTTCTGAATCCTTGCAGGCTGCCTTGGATACCTTGCAGGCTGCCAAGGATACCTTGGCTGATGATATTGAAGGCAGCTGATTCAGCAGGAGCAGGACAGTCATACTTCCCTCATCCCAATCCCTCCAAAGATAAGAAGAGCAACCAGTGTGGTTTCTGTCACATACCAAGGCCCAACTACTGACTGAAATGGGTCCAGATAATGCTTCTTTAGGACAGGAAGGCCTGGCGCAATATGGTTCATGGGGTCACGAAGAGTCGGACACGACTTAACGACTAAACAACAACAATGCTTCTTTCCCTTGATTCTTTGTAAGAGCAGCCCACCACCTTCTCAACAATCTATTATTTTCATAAACTAGTATAATTCTCAATCTGCAGGTAGAAAACTAAGAAGTGGAGAGTTACTCAT